GCAGCTTTTTAAAAATCCGTAAAGAACGCAAGTTAAATATTTGTAACACCAATATCAGGTGAGAGGATAGGAATTCACACTTCTGTGACACCAGTGGTGAATGTGTTAAGCCCGACAAACTGGTATCAGTGAAGCAAGTTTATTCAATTAAATCAAAGGTGAAGTCATTTAACGGCTTACCTGAACCTACAAACAATCTCCTCACTTATTAGGGCGACCAGCAATCCAATCGCAATAAAGACCGGCAATCCACGTAGCCAAAGGCAGAAATAAGGACGATCATTAATTCAATCACCAGATAATCACCGAAAAGAACTTGCATTGTCAGTCATAGGATGCTTGTGAAGGTCTCCAAACAGAGCAAGCACCCATTTGATCACAGAGGGGAGAATGAGTTGAACGAGCCAGTGCCTGAGGAGCGAATCCTGCAATAACTGTCGAGTTACCACAAAATGAGTACTCTGGTCGACCTCCATGTTTACCGGGAACGAGAGAAGGGAAGGGTAGGTGCTAACAAGGCGCAATAATTTCGCATCACTGATGGAGGAAAGAAACTTCTCAGCTTCCTCCAGTGGCGCCAGTAATTGCGGATGAGGCAGAGCCAAATAGTGCTTCAAAACTGCTACCTAAAATGTGGCAGTTACGGAGCCTGACTGTACAATACAATAAGTAGCGCCATGATCCAAGTTAGCCTGACAAACCCAACGCATGAACGCACTCGATTCGCTTTGTGCCGATACGTCCGCTGGCACCGTCAAATGTGGCGCTAAGATCTTCTTACCTGAACCCGACGCCACAAATACGTGGCATGGGCTTCGTGTCAGTTTTTGATAATTGCTTGCAGCAAATAATAAGTCGTAAACAAGCCGATTTTAAAATAATGAAGCAGATGTGAGATTCTCTTGAGCTGGGGAGGATAACTACAATCACTAAAGTCTGAGCAGCGGTTTGGCAGTACAAGCACTGGCGTCATTTGCAAACAAAACAGCTCAGCTATGGTGGCCCATTTTCTTTCGACACCAGCGTCAAACGCGTTTAACAATTGAATATGAAAATGAAATGTCTATCCCAATGCTTTATTCAAGGCATGCAATTGTGCATTTTGTCGATCAGGCACCGAATTAACGGCGGTGACGCACGAAATCCCAACGCATAGAAAAGCTAAAAAAGGATTTCGGGTGTTAGAGCAGACCCAAGCACTTCATAAAAAAGACCTACCGGAAAAGTTGGATTGTCTTTTTCTTCCTGAGAAGCACATAGTGTTCAATGGCATGGGACTGTCACAAAAAGACATTTTCTCTTAGCGCAAAAAAGAACCTACATTTAATCTAGTCAGCATACAATAAAAAAGGGCGTAACACATCAGTCTAAAGAGGCCATCGTAACAAAAGAATGCCTATTTCAAATATGTATTTAACTACGCGGACTTCAGTCTCCGTGATGTCGACTTCCATCTTGGCGACAGGGCCCTCCAGGCTTGCTTAATATCCTCCAGTGCTTTTGTACGCTAATACTTTCCAGAGGCCTATAATGAATGACCTGGAGAAAGGATTGGGGAGCTGCACCAATGTGGAGATGCCTGACACCAGTTCTAATCCCGTATCTAACGTAGGTATCTAAATCCACTAGGGACAATGGCCGAATTTAATGAAGTCGAAGTGCTAATCTAATCCTTGAAGCAGTGGACCATTTGTTAGCCGTTATCTTAGACTCCTTGCCTAGCGACCCAGGAGCTACAATTGAATGACTTTGAGAAGCTGTTTCAGCGAACGGGTCACACCTAATGCTGCCAGGGTCCTAGTAATAAGTCGTGAACGCGCATATTGAAACGGGGAAAGAAAAGCGGCAAAACTCTACAACCAAGTGTTTCCACTATACCTCCGTAAAAACGGCATCTAGAAAGACGAAAGGAGGTCGCATGCGAAAGCGTTTCACAGTGAGACAAGACAAAGTCGCAGCGTCGCAGTGAGACTCCAGGACGAGATCTTCAGTGCTCGTGAGACCAAAACCGAAGAAAATGGGGGGTGGGGACTTCGACATTCCTTCACACGTACCGAAGTAATCCGCACAAATTTCCGCAAAACATTGCTCGGCACGTTCTCCATGGCAGGAATCACCACTACCAACGGCCCAGAGTGACATTTAACCTCTCAAAAAGAAGGCAACTGATAAGTACAATTCAACGTCTTAGAGGCAACTGACGTGAAGCATGCTTGAAACTGGCGAATCCCTTACGAAGAATACGACTGTCACGAATCATCTGCATACTTCATTTTACTGTTGTCTTTACCTATCAGCCGCCAAAGATCCCACTGCCTGAACAAATGACAATTTGAGACAAATTTTGCAACCAAACAAGAAATCCTACAACCTGCTCACCAGACAATTTTATTATACTATTACTTGGCCCGGTCCGCCAACAGCTCTTGCGAACCTTAGCCTACCATTTATCCACACTTTTAGACTTACAAACTGACGCGGCAATCGAAAGGCCTAAAAAGCATATTAATTATACAACACTACTCACAGGTAATTAGCAGAAAAATCACGAAATACCTGTCACACTTTTAGCTGCACTCAAGCCCATTGACTCATGCTGAAAAGGAGGGGCTAGTAAGACATTCACTTTTGCTGACCACAAAACACTCGAGGTAATAAAGATATACGACAAAAGGCGATGATCTAGTGCGGTTTCTTCACCTTCCAACATAAGGCAAAACAACCCCACTAGTCCACCACATCATCAATACTCACTGATGCAAAGTTTAGTACAGAAGAATTGCATTGCTGATCTACTAAGAAGAAAATTTGGTTCGCAGTAAGGGTTTCTGCACCACAATCAATTATAGCCACACGACCACATTTTCGAAGAGGATAGCTCTTTACATTGCTAAAGAACGCCATGTGATCCGACGTATTGACAGCGCCAAGCAACCCACACAGGCGTACCCAATGGACCATGCTTAAGCTTCAAATAGACTTCATGGATGTAGCGTGCAACTTCTGCACATATGTCAGCAGAGGCGTTCACCAGACGAGACAACCGTACCGGGTGACTAAAATCCAAATCACATACGTCCACATTGGTAAGAAACGCACTCCACTCACGTTGAAAAGCCTTCTGGTTACCATCGACCCCAGTCGCAATGTCACTGCAGGGGAAAAAACAAACATCCTAAAACAAAACAAGGGTGAAAGCCCAAAATAAGTGCTAACAAAAGCTCCGGAACCGAAGCGTGCCCAGAAGATGATACTTTCAGCAACAATTAACAGTAAAAAAAAAACCGAGGGAAGACAGAAGCCAAGCATTTACTGCAGTGTTACGAGTGGAAGCACAAGGACCTAACCGTAATCAAGACCACAAGAAAAAAGACAAAGCACACAGAGGACGAAATTAGCGCACCTGGCAAAGGCAGAGGAAGAATGTGCATATAAACGAACTACTTTTAGGTGGTTGCCAAAAAGACGATTCATGCCCTTTAACTAAAATATGGTGCACACAATCCAGTGCTTTTAATAGTAACAAAGTAAAGAACCAGGTTTAAATTGACTTAGAGAGAAGTGATACCTGAACAATTTAAACAGCATGCGATGCTACGGAAGGCTGCTAATGTGTGTAAAAAAGTGCCGGAAATTGGACACATAATTTCAATGTCCGCAATTCAATAGAGAATCAGGTGCTTTAAAATGACTTGGTTAAATACAACCATTAAAGGCTACATTCTGCTGTGCCCTTACACTTTCTGAAACAATAGCCTTCCTCCATGAAATTACAATGTGCTTCAGCTAATCTGATAAATTGGTCAGCGTTAGTACCTACTTTCTGAATTCACATTTAAATTGTGAAATTCAAGGTCAACACTTGGGTTTATTTGTGCTTGCTGTTCCATGACTTGACCTTTGCGTAGGAGCAAAAGGTATCAAGTGTTGGTAAACTTAGTGAAGGAGGAATTCCTCTTATCATGTATTTGCTTTCATATCATTGTGTTTGTCGGTTAGAGGATGCTTGTTTCTTATATCGGTGTTTCTTGTGTATATTTTCCACTTGCATATTTTGTTTTGAAATATTGGCTGAATTTCACCTTGACGTGGCGCAATTGCTTTCTTGGTGATTCTCGCCTGAAATCGTGATAGATCATACCACTACAGAGGAAGACTTGTTATGGAGGCGCACAGTCAATGGGCGCTGAGGGCGTGCTCAGGGAGCCCCTGTGCCGAAGCGAAGCAGAGGCTGTGGAGACTGAGTTGTTTCCACCGTGAAATATTTATTTAAACGAAACGCTATTTCATCACACGGTGCTCTCCTTCTTTAGAGGGTCGTCTTTGACGCTCTGTTGAGTCATTCTGTGTATTGGCTACTGCGTCGTAGACTTTGTGTCAGGAAGTACCTCGAGTTGGGAATGGCTACAGTAAACTTGTAGTGTAGATGCAATGTTTGATTCCAACGTCAGTGGTGCATCTCGGTGCGTCCATTGCATCTGGCGTAGGGTTGTGTTTGTGAAGTGAAGTGAGGAAGTGGAAACTGGCTAACTTCGTATTGCCCAAGGCTAGACAATGCCCCACAATGCGTGCATTTCGTGTAGGGATCGTTAATTGCAAGAACATTGGCCAAAAAGTAGAATGGATTGATAGGAGGGAATGTAAGGTGCATTAACGGGGTTGATATCCTGCATCTGTTGCACCCTGCCACTCTGCTCGCGCCTATGTGGGCGGAGGTACTGCTCACAATCGTGTGAGCAATTATGTTTATCCCCGTGTGGGTACCGTAGACAGCTCCTAGATGGGCTTTGTAAGTTGGTGTAGTTGTGGGCAGCCTTCCTGCAGAACACGAGCTTGGGGTGATTGTGGGAGGTGGAGGTTACTTCGGTCCTCCCGATAGGCGTCATCGTGGATACAGTCATCTGTGGTGGATATCCTCTTTTTGAAATGTTAAGGTGTGGCAATTATGGAACCCTTGTTACAGTGGATTGGGGCCGTTTTGCGGTGTTGACATTGCGGTGCGGTTTGTTTGCACGAAGTAATGAGCCAGAAGTGGATGGAGGAGGAGGGGGAGGAGTTGTCTTTAAGGAGGTAGAAAGGAGCGTGGGGAAGCAGGCTATACCTATGGCCTGGAGGGCTATTCTGGCGAGTGATGGGTACAGCTCTCAGGAAGTGAGGCGCTCGTGCGATTGCGCTCACAGGTAAACGTGCCATCAGATTATTGCCCTTATT